TGCACTCCCAGGGCTGGCGCCACCCCTGTGCTGCGTGCCTGGGGGCGGGGCCAGCCCCAATCACTCGGAGGGTGCACAGAAATGGCCTAGTGGGCGCCATGGCGCCCGCGGGCACCACGTTGGGGACCACTGGTCTATACTGTTAAAGGACAGGAGAGACTCAAGAGACACGGATTCCATTTTAGCTCTGGCATGCGATTCTGATCAGCTCTATGGAAGTCAGTCAGACCTCAGTCCTAATAAAGGAACCCCCGCTTGGAGTTAGGCGCTGCAAAATGATCATGATACAGCTGTACTTCACTTCCGTATTGGGAGGATACAGTCACTGTTAGTTAGGGTCTCAGATTCTACAAGTGTTTCTTAAACTGTGTTCTGTGGCACACTGGTGTGCCACGAGGCAGTCGGAGGTGTACTGTGGAGAACAGAATTCAAAATGGCTGCCCTTAAGGGGATAGGCAACCTTTTTTTCCTTTTTTCCCCCTCCTCAATCACTTTCCCTTTCCCTCCCAACTCTTTTCCTCTGACTTTTTTTTTTGCTCAAAAATCCTTGATGTTCCTCATAAAAAAAAAATTGTTTCGTGTTCCTTGGTCCTAAAAAGTGTAAGAAACACTGTTCTACAGAGATTAAGAATGACAGGAAAACACCCACCGACTTCTTTCTTTGCTAAACCTAATATGGAAGGGATGTAAAAAGCAAAATTCAAACCAGATTCCAACAATGACAAATGTTCCAGGTTAAAAAATAAATTTAACAAATCAGAGCCCTGGAAAAAAGGGGGCGGAATCTTCAAACAAAAGTTTGTTTGCTAACTAAATCCTAGTTTGTACTTCAGCAGAGAACCCATTTTATCTGTGTGAACAGTGTCAGCATGCAGATTTTCAGAATGTTTTCCTCGATTAAACTTTCCATCTCTGTGAAAAATTGGATGACCTACAGTTTACACAACAGGCAAGAAGCTGTTTGAACCAACACTAGGGTAATTCAAGCTACTGGAGAAATGTTTCCCTATTATGGAACGAACGAACGAACACGCACGCGCGCGCGCGCGCGCGCACACACACACACACACACACACACACACACACACACACCCCAACCATAAAATAAACCAACTCCAGCACCTGTGCATTTTGGATTAATGGGATGAAAAGCCATGTATTCTGTTTATGGGAGTCAGTAGCACCTGAAATAGGTATCTGCAATGTAAGTGAAAGAAAAATTGCTAGGCCATCTTTTCCTTATTACCCACAGAAACTGTTTGACCTCATTTATTCAGTCCCTCTGCACTATGTAAAAGCTAGCATATTTTATAGTGAGTGTCTGTGTGGGGCGGGAGATGAAGGGACATAAATCCTGTCAGGAAAAGTCTTGGAATAAACCAAGATGGTAGGAAGGTCAGACAATAGTGTATGCTCAACTTCTGCTAATATATATTCCTGTCTTAAGTCTTTGTTAGTTCGTAAAGCTGCAAAATAAGAACATTCCCCAAAAAGCAGAGTGTTTGTTGTAAGTTCCAATTATGTGCCTCTTGTACAGAGAGGAGAATGATGTGAGAACATCCTGCCATTCACACCGACCAGGAGAGCCAACAGACTTACTGAGCCCCTAGACAAGATGGGGGAGCAGTCCCACGGCTCCGGAAGGGGCAAGACTTTGGGCAGAAGTGGTGGAGCTGGGGCAGCCCAACCAGCCATGCAGAGTGCTGGCAGCGATTTAGCAGCGGTGAATGGAAGCCCGGGCATGTTTGAATTCCTGAACCCTGGGGCAATTGCTGCCTTTGTCACCTGCTCACGCTGACACGGGTCGGATACAGACCACTTTCACTTCAAAGTAAATCCTTATTATGGGGGAGAGACAGCTCAGTGGTTTGAGCATTAGCCTGCTAAACGCAGCATTGTGAGTTCAATGCTTGTGGGGGCAATTTAGGGATCTGGGGCAAATCTGACAGGGATGGTACTTAGTCCTGCTGTGAAGGCAAGGGCCTGGACTCAATGACCTTTCAAGGTCTCATCCAGCTCTATCAGATCCATATATCTCCAACTATTCTGTACTGTCTGTCACATGGAGTGACCAGGAAGAAGGTTAAAAAATAACTCTATGACAATGCTTCTTCAGCCACATCCTTTATAGTGAAGAGGGGGCTGTGCATAAGCTCTCATCAACAGAAGTTGGTCCAATAAGAGACATTACCTCTCCCACCTTGTGTGCTGGGACTGAGGAGGCCACAACACTGCCAATAATGACTGGATGACACCTTAGTAAGGCTGCTGAATCAATACACTGGAGACGAGCTTCTCAGTGTGTCCAGGATGGTGGCCACCACCATGGTCTGGTGAGAGGAAGTCTGTCTTATGGCAGCTGGATTTCAGCTCTCAAACATTCTCCTCTGGGCTCTGCAAGTTACCACTTTGCCTTTCCAATTCATACTGGGTATTCCAATAACCCCCCATACACATCCGGCCCATCACTTGGCGCACTCAGTAAGTTGCTACTCCCTAAGGAACAGTATATATCCCAGAGGTGGGCAATAATTTTTCCATTGTGATTGGTTTCCATTGCTTTATTTACATATTAGTTGAGCCGGGCAGGTAAATCAACTTTCCTTTGCCTAGGTGTAACCCAGAAGCTACTAAGACCAGGTCTACACTTGACCCGGCAGCTCACCTCAAAGTATGCTACTCCAGCTACATAAAATACATAGTTAGAGTCGGTTTACGTTAAGCCGAGAGTGGCTGCATCCCCACAATGCGAGACCAACGGGAGCAAAAGCAGGAGGACCAGAAATCGGCAAGGACACCCTCCAACTTCAATTTAGAGAGTCTTAACACTACTTGCTGAAATCGAACTCCGGAAGATTGATCACAGCAGTGGCGATCATCTAGAGAGTGAAGACATGCCCCCAAAAAAGAGAATGAAGTCTACTCTACAGCATTATTCAAGAGCCGGTTGGCTTTTAGCTCATGCTGTAGACTAGACACACATGGCATTAGCCACTCAAGGCCCAGGTGCATTTTGTAGGCCTTACATCAGAAGGGAGGGATAGCTCAGTGGTTTGAGCATTAGCTTGCTAAACCCAGGGTTATGAGTTCAATCCTTGCAGAGGCCATTTAGGGATTTGGGGCAAAAATTGTCAGGCATGGTACTTGGTCCTGCTGTGAAGGCAGGGGACTGGATTCAATGTCCTTTTCAGATCTAGGAGATATTAATGGTGATTGCTTTATTTTTATTTTTATTTTTTTTAAGGAAAAACCTGCCAATCCTGCCTGCACCTCCACTGGACAACCATTAGGAGGGATCAATATGACAAGCTCCCATTAGAGACCTCACACAACCCTTTTTAGGTGACCGTTTGGAAAGCGGCATTTGGGATAGCAAGTTTGCCAGGCCTAGTGGGAGGGACTCTTGCAGAACACCCCAGTTGATAGCAGTGGGCAAACTTTTAACGAAGATTATGCAACTGCCAACTGTCTTATTGCAAACCTAAAAGCAGCAAACACTGGCCCCTTTTCCGAAAGGGGCATGTTAATTTCACAGGTCGTAATAGGGAAATCCGCGGGGGATTTAAATATCCCCCGCGGCATTTAAATAAAAATGTCCGCCGCTTTTTTCCGGCTTTTAGAAAAGCCGGAAAAGAGCGTCTACACTGGCCCCGATCCTCCGGAAAAAGCGCCCTTTTCCGGAGGATCTTATTCCTACTTCGTATCCCTATTACGATTGCTGAAATTAACATGCCCCTTCCGGAAAAGGGGCCAATGTAGACGAGCCCCCTCTGTAAGCTGATTCAAGGTAAGAAGGGGGAGGGACCCAAACAAAAAAGTCCATTATCTGTTATTTTAAAAGAAACTGATGATCAATCTACAGAACTAATGCAACTTTGATGTAAAAATTAATCAATGGTTAAAGATCAGCATGAAATGCAGTTGTTAGGCAACCAACACATTTGGAGAGAATCTTACAAACGTCTAGTAATCCAGCCATGCTACTAAACGTGTTGTTTTCTTGTAACTTCCTTTAACCGGGCTGTTTCCTTGCCCTTTCCATTCATCACACAGATAGGATCAGTTTAAAATAAAGGTAACAACCTAGCTCTATGGCAACAATTGGAGAGCATTTCAGCTTTTCAGCCTCCCTGAACATGCAGTAATAATCTGGAAAGTTTCCATACTTGAGCAAAAAAAAAAAAAAAAAAAAAAAAAAAAAACCCTTCAGAAAGCAAGTCACTGAAGCTCACTGCATCTGGTCAGGAAGTCTTAGGAGACCATTTTAAAAAGCCATACAATTGTCAAACTTGAACTTTTGAGAAGAATGGACAATTTGTGCTAATTGTGTTGGCAACGAAAGGCATTTCCTTTCAATGGAGTTAATTTTGTGACGTCTGTTCGTGGCCAAAAGAATTTAAAAAAAAAGGACAGTTTTAGACGAGGCTGTCAGCAGAAAAATATCAAAGCTGTGCTGCTTTCCATCATTTATTAAGTCTCTTCCGGCCAGAACAGTTCTATACTAATGATAAACAAGATCAAATCTAGCTTTGATTGCAGCTGCTTTAAAATGTGCAATAAAAAAAAAAACCTCTGAGACTATGTCCTTTGAGATGCATTAAAATATTTAGAGTATGTAAAAACAGGGTATACTGTTCCATTTGTATAAAAACCTATAGGTGACTATATTTAGAACTTATTTCTAATACAAACTGTAGAGGGAGCGGATAACTTAGAAGAGGATTAGTGATCTCATAAAATCCTATTGCAGAGAATGCTTTTCCAAAACACTCGTCACTGTGGTGCGCTATGTACAACAGCAGCCTTCAGATACCGCCAGGGTCAGTCGTGATCAGAAATAACTGCCCTCTCGCATCTGCCAACAGACCGCCTGGAGTGAATTGCTGCTTTGTCCAGTTCCTATGCCCAGGTGAGCATGCAATGAAAAGCTACCATATTAACTAGCACATGGGTGGGCAAAAGGGCCTACAGGGTCCGGATCTGGCCCGCCAAGCAGGTGGATCCGGCCCACGGAAGCCCTTTGGCTCCCCTGCCCCCAAGCCAATTATGGCCTGGGGAGCAAGGGAGTGCGCCAAACTTTCTCTGCTCTTCCTTCGCCCTGCGAGCAGCGCTTCATAGTGCCACGTGCTCCTGGCAGGGCGGGAGGAGGTTTCACGTCCCCCCAACCGCCAGGCCCTAATTAGCGTTGGGGCAGGGGAGCAAGGAAAGTCTTCTCCTATGCCAGGGGCACAGGCACCTAGGGAGAAACATGGGGTAGGGTCAATGGCACTGCCTCACCCCCAAACCAATCACTGTCTGGAGGTGGGGAAACCAGGAAATATATTGGCCATGCTCCTTCTGCTGGACATTAGGCACACCACACTTAGGTTGATGACTATGTTTATCTGTAGGCATCTAAATACCTTTG